AAGAAGCACCAAAAAGTTCATCAATGAGTTCATCAACCGTAGGTATAGGAAAATTGTCCTTGATGGTGATAGCATTGAGGACTCTATAATCAGAACAAAACCTCCAAGATCCATCCTTTGTTTTTACCAAAACAATCGGTGAAGAAAAGGTGTTTTTACTAGGTTGAATAATGCCTTCCTGCAACATGTCAGAGACCATTTTCTTAATTTCCTCCTTCTAACTATGAAGGTACCGATAAGGTTTCACCTTCACTGGAGTTTACCCTTCTTGTAAGGGAATACAATGATCATGAACTCAGGGTGGAGGCAGTCTAGTAGGAGGGCTGAAAGATGAGCGATAAGTATGAAGCAATAAGGTCAGTTCCGGTTCCATATCCGTAGGTAAGTCCAATGATGGCAGTGGATGCTGGTCTTCTTCCACCAACTGCAGACTATAAACTTCAACAATGGAGTTAGTGTACACTAATCTTCTAATATGATGCAATTGGGATGGAGTAGGAACGGTAACGAGATCACCCTGCAACTTTGTCAACTTCCCTTTATGTAAAAATTGCAGGTTCAAGGCATCATAATTTGCTAAGTGGGGCCTTATGGTTTTCAACCATTTAGCTCCCATGATTTAATCAGCCCCAGAAATAAGGAGCAAATAAACAGGCAGCTGGAATTTGTTCCCCTGTGCGACCATAACGAGATTCTGAACCCAACCTTCAGTATTCATATGATTCTCATTTCCAACCATCACCTTAAACATAGGAGCAGGCTCAATAGGAAATTTAAAAAATTTAGCCACTCGGGGCTGTAAAAAATTATCAGAGCTTCCACCATCGACAAACACCTTAACTGGAAATTTATCAATATAAGCTGTGAAGCGAATAATACCAACACCATGACCACCCTTCAAGGCGTTGAGGGATACATGGTGATCTGTACTTCTCGAATCTACTACTCTATGCACTTGTTCATAATCCTCTTGTAGTATACTGCTAGGAGGATCGACCTCCTCTTCCTCAGATTGTAACAACAAATATTGTCGATTTGGACAATTGTGGTTGAAAGAAAACTTTTCATCACAAAAATAACACAAGCCTTTTTCTCGCTGTAACTGCATTTCAGCTGGACTAATGCAGCAAACATTGGGATTTCTGAGTGGTGGTACTGGAGGGTTAGGCAGTAATGGGGGTAATGACTGTTTTGAAGTGGTTTTGGGAAGTGCGTGTGGGGCCGAATAATGAGAAGTGGCAGTTGTGTGATATCGCACTGCATGGGAATAAGGACGCGTTTTCTGGTTTGGAGTGTATCTGTCCTCATACAATTTAGTTAAGGCTACCGCTCTAAGTAAGGACGAAGGGGAGTGGGCCGCGACATCCCTTCGTATTTCAGTATGCAGTCCACTCAAAAAAAAATTGAGTAAGACTTCAGGTGGAAGGTCAAAAGAGTGATTAGCGAGCGACATAAAAGTAAGATAGTATTCAGACACAGTCCCTGTTTGGTGTAACTTGAATAACTCGGTCATCGGACAATCGAAAAGGGAAAGACCAAATTGAGATTCCAGAGCTTTAGTGAGGTCCTGCCAAGAATTAATCGCAGATAGACACTGTAGCATCTGAAACCAAGGTACCACATCGTTCTCAAAAGGAATGGCAGCGATATCCACTCGTTCTGCATCTGGAGTATGATGGTAGTAAAAAAATTTCTCTGCCTTGAAGATTCATTCTAACACTAGGGTGTGACCAACGAAATGAGGGAACCCGAGACTATATCCTTAACCACTGTGGAAGAGGATGAGGTCATCGAAGAACCACCATGCGACTAAGAGTGATGTTGCATAAACAATTCCAATGCACTCTGGAGCTGGTCCATTCTCTCTCTAGCATCAGCTTGAACCTAGCTAGTGTGGGTGCGATGCTCGTTATCACGCAATTCCATGAGGTCCATCAACCTCCTAATTTCAACACCTTGATTCTTAAGCTCTATCTGTAACTCCTTCAATCTGGTATTCTCAGCCACGGAGGTCAATGAAAGCACCAATGAAACAGTAATATTATGGATAATACGATAGTAAGATTGTCCACAAGAAAATCAACTATTGAAATGTTTTAAGAACAGTATGAATGAACAAATGAACCAACAACAATCGTAATGAGTATGTAAGTGTCAACAAGAAATTAACGTATAAGTGGGAATCAACGTTTCTTGTATTCGAAAAGCCAGAGTAGCTAATAGAATACCGAATCAATCTCTATATCCACACGCATAATCCTCCCCCGTTGCATATCCTTCCAATTTTGTGCTTCTCTTCCTAACCCTTATGTTTTTCCTCGTGTCCCCTTTTTTCGGATTGCCCACTAAGCATAACTAACTCTGTCTTGATGTCGCTGCTCAGCTGTATATATTGCTCCAGCTCATGAACCACGCTGACAATCCCTTGGTTACATGTTACAACGTTGTTGTTTTTTTTTTTTTTTTTTTGCATAGACTAAATTATGGGACATTTTTTATTAAAGTTGACGACACATTAATCTTTGGTTTTTTAATCATTGGAGATTATTTATTTATTATTATTGTGTTGATAAAAAAATTACGTGATATGGCAGATGCTTCGTAAGAAAACTTTCAATATATCCTACAATAAAGAAAAAAATATATATAAGAAAGAAAAAGTGGAATATAAAATAAAATTTATCCTTAGTTACATATTTTTGCTCCCTTATATTCAAAATTTTACAATTTTTTCTATATAGTTTTTAAACATATTAATTATCTCCAAATTTGGATATTTTTTTCGCAAATTACGATCTTCCCGCCCATCAATATTTTAGAAAAATTTTGAAGATAAGTTTAAACCCCTTTAAATATTGAGTTAGTTCGTTTGTGTTTATTTTTTTTTAATAAAATAAACACAGTTTTATTTGTTCATAATTTTGTGTAATTTATTTATTTTAAAACTAACCAGTTTTTTTATTTTAGTTTTTTTTTAAGAAGCAGATTTTATCTGTTTTGTGATTCTTAAAATTATTTATTTAAGAAACATTTATTTAAGTTTAACCAAATTGATCCATATTATTCCGTTATTTAAACCCTAAATGTTTTATATATATGATATGGATCTACGTATTTTTAGTTGTAGATGTTAATTATTTTTCTTTTTGTTTTAATTGTTGACCAAAATATAAAATTTTAAAATATAATATTATAATTATAATGAAGATCAGTTACTTATTGTCTGGAAAGATATTCCCATTATCATAGTTTTTTCTTTCTTCTATTTTTTAACATAACTTAAAATGGATTTTATCATGATGATAACTCATTTTTGTCTTTTAAAAATTAATTAACTCTTCTTTAGTCAATAAGTTAAATAAAACCCCGCAAATAAATTTTGTATCTTTCCATCCCATCAAGACTTATTATTTAATAAAAACTACATTTTCTGTTAATTTTTTAATACCTGTTGTAATTGTATAATTACCTAGTTTTTGATAAATCTAAATATCGACACGGTTGACATACTTTTTAGTAAAAAGTTGAATTAAAGAGTGAAAAATGAGAATTATGAAACTTTTTTATTAAATATTTATCCAAATTTTTTCATGGAAATGTTACATAATCAGTTATAAAACCTTTAGTTATAATTATCTTTTATAGTAATCAATTAAATAATTAATGAATCTATGAATGATAAAAATAAATAATATTTTGATTCTTAAAAACCAGCTTAGATCTTCATTTTCTATTTTATTCACTTATTCCCTCTCTCTATGTTTCCCTCTCAGTTAAACATAACAACAAACATTATTTAACAAAAATAAACTACAATAAAAAGTTCTTAACAGGTACAATTATGAATAAGAAGAAAGATAAAAAATTCCCAGTGGATTTGGCCACAGGTTGTCGCTTGAACAACAAAATAAAATACAATTATTAAGTTGACGAGACTTTATAAAATATTTTATTGGATTGGTGTTTTATTTGATTATAATAGCCAAATAAAGTCCACACTTAACTACTCCCATCCTTGTTCATCATAGCCAGCTCTGGTGGGAAACAAATTGTATCAGTTATATATAGTTCATTAAAATTATATTTTTATAAATTCAGTAATTGATATGTGCCCTAACCATTATGAAAAACTTGTCCCAATTTCACGATTGATGATCCAACATTGTTATCCTCATATATTAATTGAATTGAGTTACTTATGATTTCCTTAACTTCAAGTGATAAATTATGACGAGACTCGAAATATTTTTAAAGATAAAAGGAGATAAAATATATTTTCAAGTGATATTTGCATGATGATGAAGTTCGGAATATTTCTGGGAATATTCAAGCAGATTTAACTATCCTGAAATTACACATTAATCTCTCAACTTTGAATAATAGATATATGACCATGGACTGATACTGAGACATTCCTGGAAACAGAAAGGTTGAAATATTTCTTGAGAATACAAAACCCAACAACATTCACTATATCGTACAGTATAATACAAAAGTACAATAAAACATTTCCTTTATTTAGTAATATAACATAAACATGATACATAACACCCGTTTTAGCCATCCAATTAAATTATCTTTGATTTCCTAAAGAGTGGCTTTCATCATCAGGTTGGAATTAATTTTTGCAATGACTTCGTCAAGCCACGTTGATTTGCAGACCATGGATTCGTAATGGAACCACATCTAACAACCAAGTTTAGTTTACAAATCAGTACCCCCTCCTCCTAATTTTTAATTCTGCACGAGTTATGGTAAACACATTTTTTTTAACATCACTATATTTGTTTCTTTCTGTGACATCATCAATCTTATCCCACACATATACCTTTATTTTATAAAGTTTATTAAAAACTGTATAATTTTTGTATTTTTCTGTATAAACACCAAGCTTTCTGCCTATTTAAGGTCACACTCTCCTTCAAATTCAACACAATCTCTCTTCCTTCTTCTTTCATTTTTCCAATCTTCCTTCTTGTTTGCATTTTCAATTGGGAAAAATGATATCTATGAGATTAGCTAAGGGGGCTGCCGTGAAGCTCGAACGGAGGCCAGCTGAGGCACCCCATAATTTAAGGGACATAGTGCTCACGTTAGCAGAAGTCATAAGGTTTAGTTATGCAGAGACCCTAGGCAAATGGCATCTCTTGGATTTGCCAAGAGCCATTTTTTTTGCTATCGTGGACAAGGTAGTTCCATTTCCAACTTCTTATATATACTTAACTACATATTTTTTCCTGCTCACAATTCTTCTTCTTCTTATTATTGGGTGTGACGCTTTGTAGAGGAGGAAAACAATTCCAATGGTATGTACAGAAAGTAGTGATTATAAAAAACTGGAAGATCCCGAATTATTAAAGAGGCTGTATGACATCAAAGAATGCTTGACACGAACCATGCTTTTCAGCAAAAAAAGCTTTCGTGCGTTTCTATTTGCCGCTGGATTCTCCAGGGAGGATGTCATTCTGAGGAAGAGAAGAGCTAGGGTTCGTTGACTTGTTAAATTTTTTTCCCTTCATAAATTCTATTGACATGTAGTATATAATCTAATAGTTTTATATTTAAGTAATCAGCAGTTATCTGTGACAGATTAAGTTAGAGGTTATGAAAGTGTTGGGTTCATATAGTTTATTTTAAAGTAAACAGCTAGAGTTACTGTTATTGTTGTACCTTATTTAACTGAGAAATTATTTTTGCCAGATTCTAAAGCCTGCTTTCACAGTTATACGTGACAAAAAATCAGAGTGTTTGTTTGTGTTCATCCGTGGAACTCAAAGCATAACAGACACCCTGACAGATGCAATCGGTGCTCCAGTTTCCTTCAATCATTTCATTTACAGTGATGGTGAGCTAAAAAGGAACAACAAGGTTTCAGGACATGGACACCGTGGCATGGTTGCTGCAGCTGGTTGGATCAAAAAGCACTGCACTCCTATACTTCTTGATGAACTTCGTCAACGCCCTCATTTCCAAATCAGGGTATTGTTAGCCTGTTAATCACAAGTCTTTTGGAAGAACAGTGATTATAATGTTCACCCAGGAATGAAATTTTGGAACATTATAGCATTCCTTTTTCATTACATTTTTTTTTTTTACTTTTGATAGGTTTCACTTCAAATGATGCCATATTCTTGTTGGTTCATTTTTTGTATATATAAATTAAAATTATGTATGTTAACCTATATTTGTCCCATTTTGTTATAATTATAAGAATATTTATTTGGTAGATCGTTGGGCACTCGCTTGGTGGTGGTACTGCTGCACTGTTGACCTATATGCTTAGAGAAATAAAGCAGTTCTCTTCATGCACCTGTGTCACCTTTGGCCCAGGTATGTGGTCCATTATACCAACTTTTTTAATTACCTCAAACATTTTATTTTGTTCGAGATTTAACAATGACTAAATTCGATCCATACGTTTATATATATATATAAATTTCATATTTCTTAGTCCTTTCCGAATTTAGTCTTTTCTTTGTTAAGTCCTTGTTTCCCAATTATAATTCTTGCAGCTGCTTCTGTGTCATTGGAGTTATCGGAATTTGGGAGGCCCTTTATCGTTTCCGTTATAAACGATTTAGACGTAGTGCCTACATTGTCAGCGTCTTCCGTTGAGGGTTTCATTAAACAGGTGCTCAAACTAGTTCTCCCAATATACATGGCTCTACCAAATGCTTAATTTTCAAAGATCTTAGTACATAATATTATTGTATAATTACAGGGTAAGGTTCAGCACGAAAACATACTAAGTTCTGCACGTAGCTCAATAACTGCAATTGGATCTCGCTTACCATTTGCATCTACTGCGAAAGCCATTGCAGATCATGCAGCAACTCGTGGCTCCCAGGTAGCTTCAATTATATTTGACATTAATGTTAGTATGTTTGGAACTAGGAAGAGGGTAAACAGTCAATGCAAAACAAGCACACAGATAATTATATTTTTTTTATATTCGGAAACAGTCATATTTGTTCATTGGTTAAAGATAATAAAAAGAGAATGAATATATTCCTTTTGAAAAAAAAGAAAAAATTATTGTCCTTTGTTAAAATTTAAATTTATTTATTTATTTTTCTTTCTTATTTTCTTATCATCATTTCAAGCACAACATGTATAATAAGAGGGGACCATTATGCTAAATCATACATTTTTTTTATCCCTAAAGATTGTGAAGACGCATAAACAAAGAACTCGATCGTTGTTATCATGGTCCAAGAATAATCCTGAAAAAGAAAATGGTGGCACGTTGTCAAGCTCTAAATCAGATAACTTGGCTGAAGCTTCTCGATCATTGGAGATAAGCAATGAAGTGGCTGAAGAAATAATAATCCCAGAGTCTACGAGTGATGAGGACGAATCCAATTTCTCTGATGAAGGATCTGACAATGATGATGAAATAGATGAAGAGGAACAAATCATATCTGCTTTTAAGAATATTAACACTGCCTCTGACGAAGAATTGTTGAATCATGAGTTGGAGAAGCATGAACTGCAGAAACAGGATAGCAGAGTTGACATTAAGGAAACACAAGAAGTCACAACCAGAGACATCACTGAAGATGAATCCAATAATGAGGGTGTCCATACTGAAGAAAATGGTGGTGTAGACCCAAAAACAAACAACAAGAATACACATGCTCTTTTTCCTCCAGGCACGATCATGCATATTGTTCCTGAACACTCTTCTAAAGATTCTAATTCAAACGACTATGATCCTGAAAAGAAACAACTCTCCTTATATGAACCGCCCAAACACCTGTATGGAGAGCTTAGGGTTTCAAAAAGGATGATACTGGATCATATGACAAATAATTATCTAAAGATGTTAGACCAATTGATCAGTCAACTACAGAACGGAAACTCCCCACATGGTGGATGATGAGCCAAGGATTAACAAATGGAAAAAAGGTATAATAAGCTCCTTGTAATAAAGTTGGGTCCCTTTATTATTATTGTCATGATTGTTGTGTGTATTAGAATTGTAATTTGTTAAAAGTATGCTTTAATATGTCAGGTTGAAATTGATAGCTTTTCTGCAGTTTGTAATCATTGAGAAGTCTTATGAATGTTTGTTTTGATCTTCAGATTTTAGATGCTGTTGTCTATGCTAAGTTCAATCTGACTTTGCATTTAAATTTTGTTCTCATACAAAAGGAATACTATTCTGTGGAAGGACTACTAAAGGGCATCAAGTGCAATTAATTATTGTAAAGTATAAATAATATAAAAATTTATAAAATTATGAATGAGGATATTTTAAAACGTGTAAGTAAAATATTTTAAAACTGTGTACTTCATTTGAAAACAAAGGATAATATATAAAAGAAAAAGTGAAAGAATTTATATTTAAATTATGGATTTTTATTCAACAGGTTTGAATTATTTTTGAAATTTTAATCAAATCTCTAAATTATTTATAAATGTAATAAATTTTTATTATATATGTAATAAATTTTTATACCGAGTATTACGTAAGGAGACGAGATTATCTATATACTTTTTCTCTTAAATCAATACGTCTTTCAAAAATAAAATTGTGATAAATTAAAATTTTAAAATAAAAATTATTTTAAACATAATAACGATATTATCATGATATTATCATAATAAATATAAGAATAAAATATTTTTATTCTTTAAATAATATATATATATATATATATATATATATATATATATATATATATATTACTAACAAGTTTATAAATATATTAAAAGAAAGAGTTGGAAATAATATTAAAGTTGTTAATGAGACATGATAATAAAATATGCGATGAAAATTGAATAAATTAAATAATCGAAAGATGTATATTATTAAAAAAGAAAATCGAGAGAAAGAAATAAAGATTATTAGAAAGTTTGGAATGAAAAACTTAGGAATGTCAAAAGTAAAGAGTATGTAATGGAAAAATACGCAAAAAATATTATAACTCTACTATGTGATACGAATACTTACACATTATGTGACAATAGAATAATTGAAAAAGAAAGGATAACAATTATAAAAAAAATAACAATTTTATATTATTTATTATAAGTGTAATAAAATATGATTTCCAAATTATAGGAAGACTTGTATTATGAAAATATTCTAAACAATAAACATATATTTTTAATAAAGTTTTTTATATCTTGAATAGTTGATTTTTTTATAAAATTATGTTTTATTATTAGTAATGATTATATTTATCTTTGTGTAATTTATATTTATTTTCTTGTGATTTATGTTTCTTGTAATTTTATATTAATTGCACTTTATTTTAAATGTTACTACTTAAAATCTAAAATATACACAAAAGATCATTAATAAAAATTCATTCATGTTATATTAACTATTAAATGATTAATGATAATCAAGTAATTTAACAAGATTCTCTAAATTGAAATGTGTTTTATGCTTATTCATCAGAATTAAAATAATTCTACGTAGTGGTTAAAATAGTTTATCACAGTTGAATAAAAAATAGATTATGACAAAACAACATATATTTTACATTAATATATATATATATATATATATATATATATATATTATAGTTATTATATTATTATAAGGGATGGTTGTTATCGTTAATAGTTTTAAAATAAGTAAAAATATCAAATTTATAAGAAGGAGTGTAATACTAAAAACTACTATAAGATTTAAATTAAAATAAATATGATTTGATAATTAGAATTTTGAAAATAATATTAAAATAGATAAACACAATATTTGTAGTTATAATTAAAGAAAGCTATATTAGATAAAAAAAAGTATATAAATATTATTAAGATTAGATTGCACCACTTACTCTCTTAGTTTATTTTATTATATAATTTTTTTCTTCTTTATCACTATCAATCCTTTGTAAATAGTTATACTTTAATCCTAATTATTAGTTACATTAAGTTTAAAGATATAAAGATTATTAATAGCTTATTCTCTGTTTACGTAAAAATGATTTATTGATTATTTATCTTAAGTCAAAAATTTATAAGGATTTTTCCATCTCTTACCAACATAACTAATTTATAATTGATCAATATACAATAATTAACAACCATAAAAATAAAACAATAATATAAAAGAGAAATGGATATTATATATAAATGCAATCGAAATATAGAAGAGAATTTTGTAATTACATCTAACCCAATAAAAAAGATTTAGCTAATAATAATTTTAAATAGCATGGAAGCAATACAAATGACAAAGAAATAATTTCTTCATCAATTCCTAAAAAAAACTAAAATATTAGATATATCAATTAAAAAATATAATTAATCTAATTTTATCTATAATTATAAAAATTAAATATAAAAGTAAGAAAATAATACTAAATAATATTTAATAAAATAAATTATTATTATTATACTTAAAATCACAAGAAAATATCAATATAGCAACACTTATATATAAATTATGTGACACGATTAAAAGTAGTTTTTTTTTTCGGATATTAAAGCCCATTTCCTTGTGATAGAAATTATTTTAAAAGCTGAAGAGAGCTATATCATCGTGTTTTTAGATAGGTGATAATACAAATTTGACCGAATTATAGAACAAAATACGTGAAATGACAAATGAATTTTATTAGAATTTTAATATATTTTTAATAATCAAATAAACAAGAGGAAGGATTCTTACTCTTTATTTTTATATTTATTCTTAAAATATGTTGTTCTTTTCTTAATAACAAAAGATAAAAACAACAAAATAAAGCATAAAATAAACTGAAGAAAAAAAAACATATATATAAAATATATAATAAAAATAATTAATAAATTTGAGTCAGAAAAGGAATGTTTAACAAAAATAATAATGACTCTGAAAGAAGATATAAAGAATACGAAATAAAACACATTAATGGAGAAGAACAGGTGAATGATAGTATATTAAAAATCAGTTTCATTACTTAAATATAAAAGTGATATCATAAAAAAAAAATTCATACATAACCATTTGTTATGTTATGTATACAAATACTAAAATATATCTCAAATTAAAAGAATAGCTCTTATTATCTCATTTTTATGCTAAAATGGAGGGAATGAATCCTGTTAAAACGAATGCATTATTATAATTTATTAAAGTTGACGAGACTTACTTTATTGAATTATCAACTTACCAGAAAGAAAGGGAAAACAATATGATTAATGATGCAAGATTAGTGATAAACAACAATAATCTGTTTCCCCACCAAATATGTTATTATGCTTGTTATTTTTAAATAATTTATAACAATTTTTTTATAAATTTTGTTCTAATAGATGATTTTACACATAATAATTAATATTTATATTTCGTCTTTGATAATTAAAAATAATTTAATCATTATAACTAAATATTAATTTAATATAATATTTTAACATGAAAAAATTAATTAAATAATTCATACATTTTTTATACATATAAAAATATTATCTATTAAAAAATAAATTATATAATAAAGAGAAATAATAAAAATTACAATAATTTTTTTATAAAAACAATATTTTTTTTAAATTTTGCATACGATAAATATTTAAACATACACATTTTATTTTCAAAGTTTCAAACATAAAATATAATAATAATAAAATAGATAATTAATTGATATTTTAGACCATTAAAAAAAAACCTGTAAACTAAATATTGAAAGATGATTTATATTGAAAATATTTAGGTAAATAAAAATTGTGGCATATATAATTTTATTTATTTATTTTTATTTTTTGTTAAAATTTTAAAAAACTTTTGTAGTCAATGGATCAACTCCAATGAAACTACTTATTATATATTAGTAATTTGTGTTAAATTTTAGACCAAGAGAAAAAGAGGTGATTTAATGAGAAAGTGCCAAAAAAGTTAACAGTACAAATATACAATAGACTATATCTCAATTTTTTATTTTTTTAATTATTATAATAATAAATTTTAAATAAACATATTAAAATAATAAATAAATTTATTTAAAATTATTAAAAAAATATTTTTATCAATCAAATCAATTTTATATCATACCATCTTTCTATTCATCTATTTCACTCTATTTTTTACTATCTTTTATTTAATTCAAATAATTTTTTTCATTTTCTCAAATTAACTCTTTAAATTAGAGATATACAATTTAACAAAAAGCACTATCTTTTAAATTTATTTTCATATAAGGATGTTTGATTAATTTTGAATTTTTTAAATAATATAAAAAATGAAATAAAGTCATAATAATAATTTGATAATTTCATTAATGATCGGAAATTATTGATAAAAACATATATATTATCAATAAAAATATAAAACTAAAAATAAAGTATATCTTTTAACGGTATTAATTTTTCAATATTTAAAAAATAAAATATCAAATAATTATTAAACAACTTTTTTTAATTTTTAAAATCTAAATAATTAAAAATTATTTTTAAAAGTAATAAATAAATAAATCCTAAATATTTAAGACGCGCATGCCACATGAACATGATTAATAAATTAATGGTATACTGGTCCATTATTCGAGATTATCCAGTGTGTAAAAGACTATAGTTTAAATTTTTGTAATATTATTAATTTAAATTTATATTGTCAGATTTATATAAAAAAAATATATAAGACATGATCTTTAAAATATTTACGTGATAATAATATTATAAATGATTATTAAAAGTTTTTTTTTTCATTATAGAAGGTACTAATAGGCGCAGAAATGATGAATCCAAGTTCCACAGTAAGACATGTCAACTTTATTCCATATAAAGAAAACACATGTAAACATGGATGATTGATTTTTGAGCTTAAAAAAATTAAAACTGAATTTTTAATATGTTTAGATAAAATTTGATAAATCATCACCATCGGCTTTCTTTATTTTATTTTTGATGGAGAAAAACTTTAAGATGTCACATTGTTTGCATATCAAATTA